GAGTTTTTTTACTAGCAAGAAATACATCATTTAAAATAGCCCAATATTTTTGTTACCAATGCTTATTTTTTCTTTCTTTAAAGCAATCTATATTTTTTCTTTTAAATTTTGACACAATATATTCAGGTTACTAACAGTGAATGTTCATTTTTGTTTAGTACACTTGTTGTCCATAGAACAATTAACAGCAAGAGACTACTATTTCAGATAGTTAGCTGCCTGACATTTAGCACCTTTGTAAGTCAGAGTAGATGCACATTTACATTTTCAGGTAACCTATAAAAAATCCTGTCCCACATAATATCATATTTGATTTGCATTTCATTAGGCACTTAATTTGCTTTGGTTACTTGTTATGAATTGTGCAGTTACTGGTAAACTTGCCTAAAAGAATGAGTCCAATTTATCCCATCCACTTAATTCACTTGAGTAATATTAGTATGATACTTCTATTTTTAAAAATTGTTACTTAAGTGGAAAATAAATTTCTAGTAAGCAGCAATTACTTTCATTGATTCATAGTTTAAAGCCAGACAAGGCCATTAGGTCACCTAAGGTGAGTCTACACTGCACCTTTAGCTCAAAATAAGCTACACAATTTGAGCTATGCAAATTGCACAGCTTATTTTGAGTTAATTTTGAAATAGCTTATTTTGTAATTTGACACTGTCTACACAGCACCAAATTTCAGAATAAAACACTATTCTGAAACATCCCTTAATACTAATGAAACAAGATTTATAGGGACATCAGAATAGCAAGCCCGGTACATTTTAAAATAACGGGCTTGTTTAAAAGATGTGGAATAGCAATTCTGAGATACTGGAAGTATCCTGAAATAGCACCACAGTGTGATATACCCCTAGTCTGACCTCCTATGTTTCACAGGCTTTTAAATTGTATCCAGTCAGCCCTGCATTGAGTCCAAAAGCTTATGTTTAGCTGAAGTATATCTTCCAAAAAGGTTTCCAGCCTTGATTTGAAGACATCAAGAGATGGGTAATCTATTTCATTGAGTAGTTTGAGCAGTTTATCACCCACAGTGTTACAAAATTGTGTGTCATTTCTAATTTGAATTGGTCTGGTTTCAGCCACCAGTCAATGGTGCTGGTTATATATTCCTCTGCTATATCAAAGAGTCTTCAGTACCTGGCATTTTTTTCCCCTGTGAAGTACTTATAAATCTGCTGTGTCTTCATAAGCTGAACAGATGGAGCTAAGCATCTCACTTTAAGGCATTTACTCCTGCCTTCAAATAATTTTTGTGGTTCTTTTCTCCGCCTTCTCCAATTTTTCAACCTACTCTTTAGAACATCAACACCATAACTGTACACACGATTCCCTGCTCCTGCTCATCACTCTTCTGGTAACATACCCAATGATTACATTAGCCCTTTTTGATGATTCATAGAGTTCAATGATTACATTAGCCATAGCATTGCACTGGTACCTTCTGCTGAGTTGCTTGTCCACTGATGACCCTTATAACCTTCCTAGAGTCTGTTGTTCAGAAACAGTCCCCCATTCTGTGGATGTGGCCTGCATTCCTTCTTCCTTGAGGTAGAACTTTCCATTTGGCTGTATTGACACATTTTGGCTGTGTCTAGACTGGCAAGATTTTGCACAAATACTTTTAACAGAAAAGTTTTTCCATTAAAAGTATTTGAGCAAGAGAGCATCTACACTGGCATGGATGCTTTTGCGCAAAAGTCATCTTTTGCTCAAAAGCATCCTTGCCAGTGTAGACGCTCTCTTGCGCAAGAAAGCTCCGATGGCCATTTTAGCCATTGGGCTTTCTTGCACAAGAAATTAACTTGGCTGTCTACACTGGCCCTCTTGTGCAAGAATACTTGCGCAAGAGGGCTTATCCCTGAGTGGGAGCAACACAGTATTTGCGCAAGAACCACTGATTTTGTACAGTACAAAGTCAGTGTTCTTGTGCAAATACTCGTGGCCAGTGCAGACAGGCGGCAAGATTTTGCGCAAAAGTGCCTGCTTTTGCACAAAATCTTGCCAGTCTAGATGCAGCCTTTGTGTCCACAGTGGGCCCATGTTCCCATGTGATGAAAGTCACTCTGTGTAACTGCCCTATCCTTAGCATTCTTACCACTCTGTCAGTCTAAGTGCAAATTTGATATGTAGTGATTTTAAATTTACTTTCAGATTGCCAATGATGCTGAATAGCATCAAGCCTCATACCAATCCCTGTGGAACATCACTCTGACGTATAAATCCCCCCCTTAGGGGTGATTCCCAGTGGACAGCAACTTTTGGTGATCTGTCATCTACAGTTCTTACTCCCTTTAATGTCTGTTGATATTGGATAGTGCTGTTTTAATCATATTGTGTGGTACTAAGTCAAAGATACTAAGTCAAACACTTTATAAAAATCTAAATATGTTATATTTATGCAGTTACTTTTTTATCAACCAAATTTTTAATTTTATGAAGGATTGAAATAACATTTGTTTGACAAAACCAATGACTGATGTTATTTATATTTTTATCCTTTAATTCTTTATCCATTGACTCCTGTCTCAGCTTTTCCATTATTTTGTCAAGTTAAGTAACCTTTAGTTACTGATGTCATCTCATCATATATATAGTAGCCTAGTGTCTGTGAGTCTGTAATGCCGAAATGCTGGCTGTTCCCTCTGTGGGGCGCTGTTGCCTGAAATGCTGGCTGTTCCCTCTGGAAAGTGCTGTTGCTGAAATGCTGGCTGTTCCCTCTGAATGGCCCGTGCTGCATGGGTGTGGGGCCCAAACGGCCTCTTTCACCGTGTTCCCTCTGGGTGGCGCTGTTGCCTCCAACCATGGCACACGGCTGACTTCTGCGCTGCTCAGCTGGGCCACCGTGGGGGAGCAAGAGGCGCAAGTGGCCGTTTGGGGTCTGCGCGCCCCATGCAGCATGGCCAGGGGGCAGGACGTGGCTGTGTATGTCACCGCCCACCCCCCTTCGCCTCCCACCATGGCGCTCAGCTGACTTCTGCGCTGCTCAGCCAAGCTGCCACCTGGGAGCAAGCGACCATTTGGGCTTCGCACCCCCCATACAGCACGGGGAGCATGTAGACCAAATGACCATTTGGGCTCCGCAGTCCCCCGAGTGAGAGGCAGGAGGGGGACGAGAAGTGAAAGAGAGAGACAGAGAGAGAGGCAGGAGGCAGAGGAGAGCTGAGAGAGAGGGAGGAGGCAGTAGAAGGAGGAGAGAGACGGAGCGAGAGACTGGAGGCTCAGGAGAGAAGACCAACGTGGAGGCGAGACCTGAAAATCCCGTCTTATGATGGGCTAATTGGCTAGTTTTATTAATATTGGCCTAACATTAGCACTCTCACAATTTTCTGGAAAAGCTAATGTTTATTAAAATTAAGCATCAGTAGGTCAGAGATGTCCTGAGCCAATGCTTTTAGGATTCTTGTGTCCTACGTTGATAATCCTAATTATTTTAGTGCTGTAATTAATATGCTATGCCTCTGGATTTAAATAACTGTACTATTTTGTTTTGATAGTACTGTATATACCTCTTGTAATCCACAATTCTTATGAGGTAAGTGAGCTAAATTCTGCAGTCCTTGCTTAGGCAAAATTCTTATTAAAGTTCTGAATTTTTCCTGAGCGGGAATTTGGGGTTTTGTATTAACATCATATTTATTCTCCAATCTTTATGCAGATTTTTTAAAGTAAAAATACCCTCTAGCTGGAATAGATGAAGTTTGCTTTCAGTAGAAATATTGTGGGATCTTTGGGAAATATTAAATTATAAGAAAATGTCTGTAAAATAAAGAGTACTGTAAGGTTGAAAGGCAAAATAGGTTTTTATTGGGTGGTAGTAATTGATTATCTCATGGTTCCACTGTCTTTGCCATGAGTTACAAAAAACACTTAGTAGTCATCAACCTACATAAAAGTAGTTAAAATGCAGGTAATCCATGACCAATATTGCTAAATTTTAAATGAAAGTTAAAGGTAAAATTGGATTGCTGAAGTAGGATATACTTATGGCTTCTAAGTCTCAGAGAGGTAGCCATGTTAATCTGTAACTTAAAAAGAAGCTTGAAAAACAATGGGTCCTATAGCACCTTAGACCTATAGAGCACCTTAGAAATATAGCTAGTATCATACGCTTTTGTGGGCACAACCCACTTTTTCGGATTACAAATATAGAGCAAGAGGCACAGGGAGTCAAATATAAAGCAGAGGGGACAGAGGGAGGAGGGAAAAAAAACCTGTCAATTAAAGTGTCCATGCTAAATGAGGCTAATAGAATGGGCGGTAAGTGTATGATACTGAGCTTCTGATGCCATTTGGGTGTAGAATAGAACAGCCCATCCAAGAGATGTCTTTGTTCAGCCCTTGGCCAAATGTGTCAAATTAACATATGAAGGTCAGTTCCTCAGGTTCTCTCTCTAGCTGATTCCTGAAATTATTCTGTCAGAGGATGGTCACTTTTAGATCCATTAAAAGTAAATGTCTGGGCAAGTTAAAATGTTCCCCAATGGGTTTCTTCTAAGTGAGCCATATCAGATACTAAGATATTGACAGCCATCAAAGTAACTAAAGGAATAGATAGAGAAATTATCCAGATTGGTAGTTTCTAATGAAGTTTGCATGTTGTATTTATTTTTATATGTAAACAATTGTATCAAACTTGTATTAGAAAATCCTGATAATGTTCTTGTTTGTCCACCTTCTGATGAGCCTTTCTCCATTTAGTACTTCCACTGCATTAGTAGAATAAGAAGGATTTGGCCCCACGTACCAGGAACAGCTCAGATTGTTAGGGTTTTTATTCTTTGCTCTAACACTCACTTTCTGAAGCAAAAGAAAACCATAAAACAGGAGATTCCACAGAAGAATGGTCCCATTTTAACTTCCATTGAAACCCAGGGGCTAACGTCTCACTAACTTCAGTGGGCAGGTAGCCCTGTTGCCAAGGATGGCCAGTTGTTGTTCTGTGAACTGTGGTTTAAAATCAATTTACTTTTTTAATGTTATTCTTTCAGTGGAAGAAAAAGTGAGATGTTGCACCCACATTGCAGCTGAAAAGACTCAAAACACAATGGATCCCAGTATGTTTTCATTTTTCAATTGGATGAAGAAATTACAGCTCGTGGGAGGAGCAATCCTTAATAAGCTGGGGGACCACAATTGACAAATCTACAAGATGACAAAACCAGGTATGTGAAGAGTCAAGATTCCTGTCTGAACACTTCTATAGAGTCCTTAGCGTGACACTGTTCCAATTAGTGCAGGATATGGCTGGGGATTCCATTCTTTTCCTTTCCCTGCCAGCCCATTTACTCAGGATGTCCTTTTATTTCCAAAGCAGCCCTCAGTGAACTCTCTGGAGAATAGTACTTCATATAAAATTCAGGTCACATGTGATTTTGAATTGCCCTGAAAAAATGAGTTAAATGAACCTAATTTAATTAGGAGGAGTTGGGTACAGAGGTCACATGTACCTGCAGGCAGAAAATATCTGCTTCTTGTAGCAGTTTCTAAGCTCATGAGGAACATTGCCTTCCTGTGAATCACCTGTATGAAAAGTACATCAGAAATAGAAGGAAACTGCTGCTTTCTCCTGTGAGTAGGAAAGGAGCAAATAACTTCTACAGCAGTTGTTCAAATAATAACTGTGGGCATGTCCACATTTCAAAATAACAAGGTAAGTGTCCACACTACCAAGCCTGTTGTTTCAAAATAATAGGCTTTTTATTTCAAAATAATAACTCAAAAAATAACTATTTCAAAATAAGATTATTCCTCTTCACTAGCAGGAGTTATTATTTTGAAATAACTTATTTTGAAGCAGTGTAAACATAGCCTGTGTGGCACAATTCTTTGACATATAAAATGCCTATATATCCTAGTGACTTAAATGGGAATTGGGGGCACTCAGTACCTCAAAATCTAGGGACCCTGGTAGGGCAGATTGAGATGATGGTGTTCTAGCACACCCCTCCTCTGTGCCTTTTCTTTTCCATGATGTGATTGGCTTGTTTTTTCAATTTAAAACTATGGGCCAAATTCATTCAAAAGAAACCTTGCAGGAAAAAGAGGGAGAGATTCGTGCAATGTCCTCTCCATGGAAAGTGCCTGCCCATCCAGAGGTGAATATCCCATGAGCAATGGGTTAAATTGGCATGGGGAAAGATGCTGCAACAGAGACCCTTTTCCCCCAGCTAAACTGAACCTGGCCTTGTGGCTAACATCTCCAAAATATACCTGGTATGAAATAACGTACAGACAGGACAATAGAAAACAAATTTCCCCTAGTGCAGATGACCTATTTCATTTAGAATATAATCTTGTATACATCCCATTTTAATCCAAAACATTACTTGTAATCTCTGCATGGTATTGTGCCTTTCAGCAGAATATTATATATTGAATGAACCAGTTAAACGTTTATTTAAAATACCACAATGCTGCTTCTGTCCAAATGGATTGGTTTAATGGCTATTCAGTAGGAATAAATTTTATCTGGCACTATTGTCACAGCAGCAGGAGAATCCAAATATAGCAGCATCAGCAGCAGGCTGTGGTGTATAAATTTTCTTCCAAATGCCATATTGTTTTTTAACACTGTCAGGGAGCTAGAAAGTGATGCTGTAATGATTCAAGGAAGTGTGTTACTTGTTATTTTTAGAGATTCTTTACTAGCGCAACAACTACGTGACTTTGTTTTCAGTGAATTTAACCCCCGTACTCAGACCTGCTATTATTTTTAGCTGTGTTTTAATTAGAATTAATCATTATTACTTGTATCGTGAAGCACCTAGGAGCCTATAGTAAACCCTATAGAAGCCCTGTTGTGTTAGGCACCTTACATAAACAGAACAAAAAGAGACCACAGCTTGATGAAAAATGATTCATATGATTTTGCTAGTGTTCTCTCTTAACATTTACTGCAAGCTATGTTACACCATGAGCTGTTTAAAAATGAGGATTTCTACAAGGTGCTAAGCATCTCTGGCAACATTGTCTTTAATACATGTTTGAATGCCCAGAACTTCTGAAAAGCAGGATACATTTAGGCATTGCAAGTTACTGAAAGAACTGATGGAAATGGGTGATTTTTGTTTTGTGGGAAATTTTGACATTTCAAAGTTATTCATTTCTAACTTTAAAAAAAGTGCAAATATTTTTAAAAAAATTCCCATGACATGAAATGGAGATATTTTGATCCAGTCAATAAAATATGATGTTTCAACCAGTACTAAACATTGCCCCTATTAATTTTAAACAATATATTAAAATAAAATGTTTTCATTATATCATATGATTATGACATATCCACTTATTCTACTGACATGCCATGAAATAATGTAAAATTTAAGTAATATAAATATGAAAAAATTCAAAGCAAACATTTCATTTTGAAAAGAAATTTGAAACAAAATTTTGAACATTTTTCCAAAATGAACTTTATGTAAATTATTATTCTTTTTGAAATATATTGTATGGGAATTTTTATGAAAATCTATAGTTTTGTGACAAATTTAGGTTTTGTCAAAATGGCTTTTTCTGATGAAAAACTACTTTGACAAAATTACCAGACAACTGAAATTGCATTTCTGCAATCAGATCAATGACGGTGTAGCTTTTTATCAATGAGAAATCCCTGTAAATCATGAATGAGATACAAAGATCCACCTGAATGGATCAGTTTTTAGGACCAAATATGGTGCTAAATGTCTAATCTGAAGCATTAAATTCTAAAAATTTGGCCTAATAGCATTGTGAAGGGAAGGGTAGAAATCTTTTTACTGTAGCCAATTTAAGATCAATTAAAAACTTAAAAGACACTAGTCTGTTCTTTTTTACATTAAGACAGGAAACCTATTTTATGTCTTCTGATTTTACTGGGATATTTTTAACTCTGGAACAAATACACTTACTACTTAATTATTGAGAGAAATGAAACTTAACTTAGTGTATATATTTAAAAATATTACACAACTTTCATAAGTTGAAATCGAAATGGGTTATTCAGAAAGCACTAAATAGAATGACAAACTGTGATTAGAATAAACAGACAATTGAATCTGACTTGGTAAATTCATGTTAATGTCTATTGAGAATATGAAGGTAATAAGAACATAAAAGCAGCCATATTGGGCAGACCAAAGGTCCATCTAGCCCAGTATCCTGTCTACCAACAGTGGCCAGCACCAGGTGCCCCAGCGAGGGTGGACCGAAGACAATGATCAAGCAATTTGTCTCCTGCCATCCCTCTCCAGCCTCTGACAGACAGAGGCCAAGGACACCATTTTATCCCCTGGCTAATAGCCTTTTATGGACCTAACCTCCATGAAATTATCTAGCTTCTCTTTAAACTCTATTATAGTCCTAGCCTGCACAGCCTCCTGTGGCAAGGAGTTCCACAGGTTGACTACACGCTGTGTGAAGAAGAACTTTCTTTTATTAGTTTTAAACCTCCCCATTAATTTCATTTGGTGTCCTCTAGTTCTTCTATTATGGGAACTAATAAATAACTTTTCTTTATCGGCCCTCTCCACACCACTCATGATTTTATAGACCTCTATCATATCCCCCCTCAGTCTCCTCTTTTCTAAACTGAAAAGTCCCAGAAGCAGAAGGAAGGAGACGGTGCAGCATGGTTCTGTGAGCAACATAACAAGAAGTGGAGTTACAAAGGTAAACCTCCCCCCCCCCCATTTTCCCCCGCCCTTTTCTGAACCTTTTCCAAGGCCAAAATATCTTTTTTGAGGTGAGGAGACCACATATGTACACAGTATTCCAGATGTGGGCGTACCATAGTTTTATACAGGGGCAGTAAGATATTCTGTGTCTTATTTTCTATCCCTTTCCTAATAATTCCTAGCATCCTATTTGCCTTTTTGACCGCTGCTGCACACTGCGTAGAAGTTTTCAGAGAACTGTCCACGATAACTCCAAGATCTCTTTCCTGATTTGGCGTAGCCAAATTAGCCCCCATCATAC